TCTGTCACTTCGACACCATATCCTTTTTTCACGACTTTTCTACTTATTTTACAAATGGATATATTTATATTCCCCTTACCCAATGTGTTATTGTTCAATGTTTAACAACTACATTGTATATTATGTAAAAAGTGATAACAAAACATCATAATGACGCAACATGTACTAATTACAAATAATGACGTACAGGTAATATACTAAAATATACTGAAATATACTAAGATAACATGTAAACATTATACACAATGTTGTGATCAACGAAGCCAGCTAGTATATTGTATGTCTATAGCGTTTATTGTACATCTTTATAATAAGCTCTCCCTCTTCTGAATTGGCTCCCTTTCTTTGTTAACATTGACAGTGTATGCCTCCACACTCCCCTGTCTGAGGACCGACTCCCTGGGTGGAGTTTGGAGTAAAGCAGGTGGGGTCATGCTTTTATGCATAGACCTGACGCTCTCGTGCGACGATCGGAGGTGTACTGTGGTATAACGGTTGGGCTGGGCCAGAGTTCTCCTTGTTTCACATGTAGTGCTCTTTATGGTCCCGTTCTCGTCGTCCTGGTTTATAATTGGGAAGTTATGGACGCGGTATACACCTCTTCCTCCTTTCGTCCTTTTTATTTTACACGTTGCAATCAAACACGCTACCCACCCAATGACTGTTAGTATTAGTAATAGTCCGATTGTTCCTGTCATTGCTAGAGAGGTTGGGTCTTTGTTTATTAGCCTGTCACCGACTACATTGATACCACCTCCTATTGTAGCACTGCACGATGACACTATAAAAGAAAAAGATAAAAGATAATTTGATAGTTTGTACTATATATTATAAATGAATTGTTTTATACATGTATATCCTTTATCTTCTCTCATGTGTTGCACCTGTGTTTGGGGGTATGTATATAGCATACAGTATAGCATTTCTCAATGTAAACGAATACATTTATTAACTATTCTATCTCTTTCCTCTCTCTCTCAATCACTTTCCTGTACTATAGGAAGTGATCGTAGTAGTGCATCAATCGTATGGTTTTAAAGACTGTAAACATTGCCCCTGAGTATATACATATAGTGAGCAGTCTGCGGTAGAGTGAACTACGTGACATAACATAAACAAGTATTATTCAATTAGGACTACTACATGCCAAGAGATTACAAGGTACTGAAACATGCACAGACAGAAATATGCACTGTTGACTCATACATATGCCATACATGCCTGATTCTTGTGAATGACTAAATCACTACACCTCCTACATGTATGTACATGCATGTCTGTTTCACTAGAATTTACTACTTGGCAGATAAGAATTGTACATTCTCTTTTCTCAATAATTTCAGCACAAAGTACATACTAGTCATGTATATCATATTTCACCTATGAAAGTCGGAATAGTGTCTAATAAGTATCTAATGATATCTAATGAGGGTGTGTATGGGCATGTCATATAGATCACACGCATACTGGGCATTCTACTATAAGGCTATGACGTATTCTCAGAAAATAACGAAAATACATTTATATAAAATGATAATTGAGTTATGCTATGGCTGAGTATGTAAGCTAACCTGCAGAGGATTGGGTAGTTGTGATAGTCACTGAACAAGAAGAAAGGAAGGAATGTGTAGTAGTAACAGTAGTTGAAACAGCTGGAGTAGTGCTCATTATTGAGTTAGTGTTTAAAGGACAATGTGATACTGTAGTGATAGATGGAATGCACATTGCTGTAGTTTTTTGAATGTTAGAGAAAGAAGGAAGAGGATCTGATATGATTGTGTCAGCCGAAGAAGCTCTTGCTCCTCTTGCTGCTGTTGCTGATGGTTCAACGGCTTCTGTGTGACTGGGCTCTGTTGTAGCGGAGGCCAGGTCTTCTAAAAGGAAATAATCAAATTATTATATAATTTTTAAATATGTATTTTAACATTGCCAGCTACTCCCACACATGTACGGATAACATACTTATCAACTTATAATAATAATAATAATTATTATTATTATCATATAATAATAATAATAATAATGTAATAGTCACAATAATATAATAATAGCAATATAGCAATAATAACATTTTTATATTTATTGGATGTTAGCACCATGAGTCTGAGCTTGTTTAGATATCAGACAACCTCAGGCCAACTGCTCACATCACATGAGGTTCATAGTAGCCAACCACAACACACTCTGTCTGTATTAGACTCAATTAGTCAATGTATAGTGCATTGTAGTAGGTGATAGTAAATAGTGTAGATATGCTGTATATGTATGTACTAATAAGTGTTGATGCTCTCTAAATGCACCTTGAAAGGATCTTGAGGGGTTTCACCTCAATATGTACTTTCACACCAAAACACAAACCAATTGCCTCTCCTCTCTCTCACACATACACACACATTACATATATGTATATGTACATGTATACCGGCACATAAGCATGTCCACTATTGTGATTACATGTAGTACCTATTCCAGTAATTGTTTGATTAATTGTAATGCAAGTTGATCCCACACAATCTCTTGTTCGTCGTATTATTCTCTTGCCACTATCTAGTCTTTATTAGATCAGTGCGTTAACATTTGCAACATATTTCTTTTAATCTTTACTGATTGTCTGGTTGAGACACGCCTCAGGCCGCAGTTTAGATCACCAGTTAGCAGACATTGTTTATAGGTCGCGAGTAAGTGTAACAATTATAGTGTTATTGGCATTAAATTAGAACTACCTGTTTTGATATAAATATTATTGATATGATCTAATACTAGGATTACATGTATTGATTAGCAATCAGTGATCTCTTAATTTCCATAGCCTATCCTTGCTACGCACACACAATGACTGCATATGACACTAGCCTTACTCACAGTCATCACAACACTTTCATATGCATACTTTAAATATTATGCTTAATGAGAAGGAAAATTTTGTCGTGTTGTATTACTATGATGTTATGTAGCATATCCCGGGAACAATTTAAATTATTAGCAAACAATTATTTGGTTCTTTACCTCCTTCCGTGTTGTTCTTTGTCACATTTATCAGGACCACTCTGCTGTGATAATGGAACCGTCCCAGTGTTCCATAGCTTAGTCCCTGCAGCATTCCTTCACATTGCAGGACATGTACTCCTGGAGAACGGAATGTTATCGTGAGGTTACTGGTCAGGGGCCCTAGGTCTATCAGGCTCTGATTTTCGTCGCAGAATATAAAGTTTCTGTCCCTACACTCGCTCTGTCCCTGACAGTTTGCCATGTACACTGTTTGGTGAGTGTTCTCTTGTTGGTTGTTGATGTTTCCTCCGTCTAATAGCCACTGTAGACTCCCACATTTACTCTGACATTGCAACTGAACTGACTGCCCAGTGACTATTGATAATGCACTGATATCTGCTCCTGGCATTGTTAGTGTTGCTGCAATGGAGAAATAGAATAAAGATAATATATAGTTTAGACATGTATCTATGGTTTAGATAATAGCAAGCAAACTATTTCTTACTCTTTTACCTGCATTTTTAAACCTTGCTAGCTGGCTATTTTCATTACAGCTTGCTCTCCCTGCAGGGCATTGAGAAAAGAGTATACCTAATGTCATCAATAGTTGACAAGCAGTGGTGAGCTGTCTTTGAGGCATCTTCTGTATCTCTGCCTTTACACGGGACTGTTTACACAGCTGCCTTCTTTGATGTAAACTCTTTCAGTCTAGTTTACTTATATAATGGAGAGTATTAGGGGAGTGTCAAGAAGCCATTAAACATGTACCCAGATGCCAGCTTCCTACATTCATTGCATTGCTAACACCTAGTGAAGCCTGTGATGAGCCTTGGATGAGCCGTGTGTAGAATCTATGATAACAATTGCTCCTACTTTAATTCCCGCTTTCAATTTCTGGTTCTCTTCTTTTTTTCTGTCAATTTTTATTCTTGCACACTTACTTGTATTAATCTTTTCTTTTTATGCACATGTGATAACATGTGATAGATCTATATTGGCATCGATCAGCATGTTTATATTAGCATATAATCCTATCACAATTGTTATGATAATGTCATGTACTCAATATTTGTGAGGTCTGTAATTTTTATAAATAGTTATGGAATGTTCATGGTTAATTGACTACCTCTCTCTTTCTCTCTCTTCCTCATCATAAAATTTCCCTCTTGTCCCCTCCTACACTTCCCCTTGTCAGAACACCCTAAATTCTCTAACATTGAATAAATTATTGAAATATAGAATAGTTGCTACATAGCAAATATATCAATTATATTACTATTATCTACTTTGTAAAAGTTAATTCTTGGACTATCGTTCTCAAACAGAAGCCCATTAGAATGCAGCTGCTTTCTAAGTGATGTAATGCTAGCTTCCATAGATGCATTTCTAATATTATTAAGTTGTTCTGATTGCAAACCATTGAATAGATTGTTATGCAAATATTGGTGGCCGGGTATCTACATTACTAATGCACGCACTAATGCATTTATATCTTATAATATTAATACTATATGCTTAGTGTTGGTGAACGGAACTGTTATTAGATACATATGTGTATAACTGCATTTCGGGTTCACTGCATGTAATTGTAATACTGATGCTATGTATGTTCTAGTACATTTTATGTGTTCAAACATAACAGGAATTTGTCTAATTGCATCAATGTCAATCCTATAGGTACAAACATCAATAAAAATACGTTGCTATAGTTGATTCATGATAGTAATACTAGAGGTATCCAGGTGTTGTGGGACTTGGGAATTAAAAGAGAAGGAAATGTTACACCAGTTGAGGATATTAGGATTATTGGAGTGTCTGCGTGAGAGTGGATTTGATTAGAAGACTGTCTGCATGGATTTGATTAGAAGACAATTGTTTCTTTATTTAGACCCTGAACTTTTTTCAAAAATAGAGTCACAACTTGCTCAGGCATTTAAAAAATTCAAAAATTGTGCATTTGCTGCTCTTTAATTAGAGTTTGGCTACTGACCCACCTATTAGACCAGCATTATTCTGGAATTGAAGTGCTACCTATTATTCTCAAAATTATTCCGGAAATATTGGGACACCTCTAAGCAGCAGTGCTCTCTGTCTAAATGAAAAACAAAATATTCTCAGTCTTAAAAGGTTTAATAAATCTAGTACATGCTGAAGCTTATTCTCAGTCTCAAAACTTTCACTAATTTTATATCTTATAGTATTAACACTATATGCATGGTGTGGGTGGACAGAACTGTAATTATATACGTATATGTATAACTACATTTTGGGTTCACTGCATGTAATTGTAATACTAATGCTACGTATGTTCTAGTACATTTTGCATGTTCAAACATAACAGGAATTTGTCTAATTGCATTAATGTCAACCCTATAGGTACAAACGTCAATAAAAATATATTGCTATGTAGATCACATAGTTGATTCATGATAGTAATAGTAGAGGCGTGCAGGTGTGGTGGGGCTTGGGAATACAAGAGAAGGAAATGTTGCACCAGTTGAGGATATTAGCATTATTAGAGTGTCTGCATGAGTGTCTCTAGTGACTAAGCGAAATAATAATTACTGCTAATATTATAAAATTTGTAAACACACATACAAGCTAGGCCATGCAGCATTATAGCTCTCGTTGCCAACTAAGTATATTATTATCTTGATTCATCCAACTTATTTGCTTTGCTTTGCGGATGTGTATCCATGCACGATATTATATTCACTATTCCTCTTTTCATCATCATTCTATCCCTTCTCTCTCTCTCTCTCTCTCCATCTCTCTCCTTTCCCCTTAATCTCCCTCTAATTGTTAGTACTTTGTTTGTTCAATGGGTTTGTTTGTAACACCTTGTTCATAAGAACTGCCAATTTCCTAGTACTGTACTCAATGTTGTACTCATTTCCTTATAATCAGTATCATCCATATAGTCTATCCATACAAATCTTATGTAGCTGCATCATACGCCTGGCCATGTAAGTACATATTATGCACATGTGTTTGCATTTTGGGAGAAATTCATTATCAAATCTTACATTATAATTATTGCATTATTCCATGCATTGTCTGCCATATACAGTGTGTGTTTACTACTCCAATATTTGGATTTGATTAGGAGACAATTGTTTCTTTGTTTATAGATATCCCTGCTAACATATTAGTTGGTGTTTATGCATACAATTTAATGATGTCAGCTCATATAACTGACCTAATTATTATCCAATCAGTTTAATATTTCGGATTAATGCTGCTTAACTTCCAGCTACTTATATAGCTCAATTATAAGTATGTTTTTGTCAATTTCAAAATACATGCAGAAATAATAATCCCATGAATTATGCCACTTGGACATCCTTTTGTTGATTATTTGGCATCTGGCAAGGAATTGCATGATTCACAGAAGACATTGTTTTGTTGTAGTGCTTCATTCTAAATATACTGCATACATTATTGCTTTTTGTTGCAAGCAGTGTATGCACGTAGTGCAGGAAGATAGTCCTATTTGTACATTTTTCATTACTTGTTGCCAGCCAAGCACTATACTCCACAACACAACAAAACAGCATCAGCATCCAAACACTAGCCCACGCTATACTTACGTATCTGCATATATACTACTCACTTCGTACTATTATATAGTTATACTACATCCTATGTGTGTTTAATTACACTTTTACTACAGCCTGTGTACACTCGTGCTTTTATTATTTATAACTATATATTGATTTGACCTCTGTGGCTCTGCAGTCACTACTCAATTTTCCTCCTACCCTTTGGACTTCTCTGATAATTTGATATTTACTGGTTTCTCCATATCTAGTGCTACAGTGAACACTTCTGCTCTCAAGGAGGAAAGGTGATAGAATTATATAGAGAAGATTTTTAGAGGAAGGCAGATGATGGGTGGGCCTCCACTTTCACACTTGGTATTGATCTGTTTTCTGTTTTGGTTCTGTTCTAGTCTGACCAAAGCTTGCAGTAAGTAATTAATTGCAAAGTTGCATAATCTTTCATACCAGGCTACCAGCATAATTGATTTATTTTGTTTCAAGCTACTTCTCCATTCCTATATATATTCCCTATATGTAGATATTTTCCCTATATGTAGATACTGTTGCTAAGTTTCAGCCCACTACACTAGTCCTCAATCATAACACCCACAATATATCATGCTATCTGACCAAGGATGACTCTTCTACATCCCTTCTCATTAATGATCAGATTAAGCAGCAAAATGGAGATTTCAATAATATATCCTGGACCTGTATTAATGGTGGAGGAGAAGGTAGCTCAAAATATGGATACAACATAAGCATACTAGGAACACCAGAGAACAACAACACGGTTGTTAGGTGTCGTATAAATGAGCTATGTTCCACTATCACTAGAATTATTGTAGTAGATGGTTAGTATATTTTACGACATAGTCTTGTTACTATTGATACTATGCTACAGGGCCACCATCTGGACCTCACCCAGACACTCACCCACTCAATACCAGTCACATTGCAATCTCTTGGTCTCCAGCATGGGCCTATCCAGTTAATACCTATACTGTAATGCTTTCAAGAGATGGAGGAGTAATGGATGAAGTTAATACTAGTAATACTAGTATAGTTATCAGTAGAAATGATAATATTGAATGTGCATTATTTAATGTAAGTGTTACAGCTATCACTGATATTGGAGCTGGTGAACCTAGTAATACTGTACAATCTGGGTTTCCTATTTGTGAGTTATTTAATTATACATTATACTATTATTAATTTATATTATTAGCATTTAATTCCAGTACTGTTCTTAATACTTCGGTTCAAAGGTTACTCTGTAATGAAAGGAGAGAAGACAGAAATCATTACAGACTAACAATTGATGTAAGTTGACCATTAAAATTTTATGCCCACTTAAAATTTTAAACCATACCTTCCTGATCATGTAACAAGGAAATGCCTTTATAATTGGCATTTTCACATCAAGGAAATGCCTTTATTTTTTGAAATATATATTTCCTTTAGCCTCCTGCTGTCTGCCAGTATCAAGTATTGAACTATACAGTGAATATGATCAGTTCTGCTGGTGAAATTATCCTCAGCAATGAGTATTCTTCTCTGCCATATTTCTACTATACTCTACCAAGGAGTATCGTTAGTGACACTTATACTATAACTACTACAGTGAGGAATCAAATAAATGAGATAATCAACACGACTGAGCCAAACAAAAGTAAACATCACTGCAGCAATGGGATGTGTACATACATGTACATGCATACACACTCTTGATATTACTTAGTCATTCCTTCCTTCATTCTTTCACATTTCTTCTTACAAATATGTTACTTGTTTGTTTTTAGAAATCGACTATCTTAACATTCCTTCCATAGCTACTAACACAACAGGTGAGTGACAGTTATTCAATGAGTAATATTGTGTTTCGACTTTGACTGACTCCATGCATGAGTACATGCTCCTCCTCAAATTTGTGCAATTCCTAGTAACTCGTGACTGTTTGTGTACCACTCTCTCTCTCTCTGGCTGGTTGATGTTTATCACTTTTTTATTTATTTATTTGTTATTATTATCAAGAAAAGGAAATTAGCTGTTATCCGGGTGGTCCATATAGCTGCTATACTGGAGCCAGTTAGCTAGTATATGCAGTTAGAAGGAAGTAGAGCCAGCCAGATATAAGAGATCAAGATTTGGTTGTAGTATATTCTTGAACTCTAGCCATAGAATTTATCAGTAGCCAGAGAGGAGAGTTGCTGTGGCCATGCTTGCTGCTGTTTTTCTACTGCTACTGACTATTGTTAGATCTTCTTTTTCTTCCTGTCCACTAGTTACAGTGCCACTCACTGATAGAGTTGTGTTTGTGAATGAATCCATCAGCTTCTCCTGCAGGTTTGATGAGAACAGTGACACTAGTAACATGGAACTACTCATTAATGGAAGTAATATAGTTCTATCAATTCATCCACCTAAGGGTAATTTTGGAAATATACACTATGAGAGGAAGAGTAATGGATATACAGTGACTGTAAATGTTTCGACATTGGAGTATAATAATACTTATTTTAGATGTGTGTTGCATGACAATTGCCTGACTGAAGGGTATCTTTATGTTACAACAGGTAAATTATGATAATTAAGATTATTAAATGTAGAGAATTTTTGCTATTAGATCTATATCATGCTTGTTTTTTCACTATTCACAGATCAGCCTTCTCCTCCGAAATCTGTAATGGTTGGCTCAATGTCGTCTAATTCTCTAATCATCACTTGGTCTCGGCCATGGTTTTATCCTATTAATATTTATACTGTATTAATTTCATGGAGTGAAGGAGTAACCAATGAAGTTAATACTAGTGATACTAGTATAGTTGTTAGTAGAAATGATAGTGAAAGTATAGGTGAATGTGTTTTGGTTAATATAACAGTTACAGCTATCACTGATATTGGAGCTGGTCTACCTAGCATAACTCTACAGTCTGGGTTTCCTATTTGTGAGTTTGTTTTTTGTGATTATTTTAATCAAAATAATTGCACTTCTTTCCTTCCAATTTCTCCTCCTTTCCTCCTCCTCCTCTCTCTCTCTTTCTCTTCCTTCCCTCCCTCTCTCCTCCCTCCTCCCTCTCTCTCCACCTACAGCTCTTGATAGTGTCGCCATTACTCTTATAAGCCATTCCTGGATCAGCGATCGCGTTATTAATATTACATACAAAGTAACCTAATGCTTTCTTACATAAACACACATACTCACTACTAAGACTTCCACTTGGCAACAACCCCAGCCTTTGCTATTACAAGTTCATGTATTGCGGTTAACTTTAAAGAATAATTCTAGCATATTCTCTGCATCATTCTACGAATAAACATCAAAGCCATATATAATGCATCAAGCCCTATCACTAATTACTCCTCAAAGTCAAGTAATAATCACTATAAGTACAGTTTATAGTCATGCATGTAAACAGGCATACAGTAATATCATCAGGGTATATAAAAATGAAATACATTTTATTCCCACAGACATATAATATTTGTAGTTTTCAAGACGTTAGTTATGAGATTCTTGTGACTCATGAGGATACAAATGAGACAAAAGTCATCAATGGAAGCAGCATAACAACCAGCAGTGTCATTGGGGGTCTGCTCCAGTCACTGATAAGTGTCATCATTGTTGATGTTGGTATATTGTTCCCAGGCACGACTGATCTTCCTGGCATGTACTCTTTTGTTGTGACTGCTGCTAGCGGTAATGAGACACTTACTGTACCTTTACTCTCTAATATCAGTAAGTATCAAAATATTTATCATCAGACACAGCTGATATATATATATATATATTCATGTAATTTTCCCTTTTACAGCTTTTTTATACATGTATACATTTAGTTTTCACTTGTATGTGTATGTAATCTCTGCTTTTAATTCTCTGTTTTTGTATGTCTTTTGCTGTATTTTTACTATCTTCTACTATATTCAATGCAATGATAGCAGCCTATGGACTAATTCATGTCCTTTTAATTGCCAGCTTTGTGTTAGTAGAGTATAGTACATCACAGAGGCTGCTTAGCCAAATGTTGTTATCGTTCACTTTGTTTATGTCTACTTAAGTAATTTTTAATTTTTAATTTATCGATCGTGATGATGATCAAAGAAAAGTCCACTATTTGATGATTATACCCTTAATTTCTCTCATCTCTCTCTCTTTGTTCTTTCTTCTCTCTATTTCAGGTCCTACAGTCATGGTTTCACCTACTACGGCTACTAGTAAGTTTAACTTTATTTTGCTTGTAATTGTTTACGTGAATGTGTGTATGTGTGGGTCGACAAATTGGTGTAATATTTGATATGGAAGTTGAAGCTAAACTGTCTAATTCCTCCTTTGACTAGTGAATTAGTACAAACACACACGCAGACTAGTAAACTGTGAATACATACCATCATAATATGATTGATCTCATTCCATAATCCTTCCTTATCACATAAGCAAGGGTCGAGGGAGAGAAAAAGGGAAAGATGACTACACTGATTATTATATTAAATAACATTTTATAGGTACTGTCAGTTCTAGTTTTGTTGCTAGTAGTTCTATTATCATTGTTGCTACTAATGAACCAAGCTTTTTTGAGGAAAACGTGATATATATAGCATCTGGAGCTGGGGGTGCAGTTGTACTGATAGTAATTATATGTATTGTATCAATTTGCTGCTATATTGGATGCAAGAGCAGGAGAAAAGGCCCAGGTATGATATTCATGAGACAGAATTAATTATTTTAGTTATATTTAATGGCTTAAAAGTGTATATAGGTGAGCAAAATATAAGAATGCTTTTCAGCAAAAATGCTCGTAACTTGAAAATTTTTTGTCAAAAACAGCTCACACTTACTACATAGAATAAGGACATCAATTGTATTAAAAAGTGCAATAAAAATTTAGGATGATTTTGGAGCCAATTTTTAGAAAAAACCATGGGCTATGGTACAGGGAAATTTTCAAAAATTAGCTCATTTTTAAAAAAATGGCCGTAACTCAAAAAATTGAACTTGGAATCAGCTCAAACTTTCTACACAGCATAAGTACATCAATATGTATCAGAAAATGTAATAAAAATTGGGGGTGATTTTGGAGCCATTTTTTAGAAAAAACCATGGGCTATAGTACAGGGAAATTTTCAAAAATTGGCTCATTTTTTAAATGGCCGTAACTCAAAAAATTGAACTCGGAATCAGCTCAAACTTTCTACACAGCATAAGTACATCAATGTGTATCAGAAAATGCAATAAAAATTTGGGGTGATTTTGGAGCCATTTTTTAGAAAAACCATGGGCTATAGCCTATGCTTTTTTCAAAAATCGGCTCATTTTAAAAATGTTTATGACTCAAAAATTATTTGTGTGATCAAGCACTGTTATTTTTCCCTGATTATTATCATAATACTACCTGCTTATAATTACATGCTATTATCATTATCATTATCATTACTATAGTACTCGTCATACCACCAATGGAGCCTAATCCCACTTATGCAGTGACGTCTGATCCTGATAGTACATATGAGACAATATCTAACATACGAGAGTTAACGCCTATCAAAAATCTGACACCCTCTCCATCTAACATGAAGCGTAACCCCTCCCCTCACCAATTACCAATGACCTATGGCTACCACCATCACGACGGCAATGGGCAAATGGCAGCTCCTAATCTCCCTCCTCCCAGAGCTTATAGAGAAGAAGTGGGAGGAGCTAGTGTCTATCCACCACTCCCACCATTGCAGTGCCCGCCGAGAGAAGACGAGTATATTGAAATGTCGTCTCAAAGTTTAACGTGTCCTTCCCCTCGTTACATTACAGGTCCTTCTCCGAGAAGAGGAGGAGGTGGGTTAGAACCTGTTGATGAAATCATACCTTTTCATATAGCTGCAGGCGAGACCATTGCAAATGGATTCCATTTTGAACCAAATAATACAACAGTATGAAATGCATTCGTGCAATTTTCTGTCTCTTTCCTCTTCTCTTTTTGTCTCTCTTGTATGACAATTGTCTGTGCAGTAATTCATTGTCACTGCTGAAAATCGTGTCTTTATTGTTTTTATTAATAACCAGGTATTAACTTCCTAATCACAATAATTCAACAAAAGTATTGGCATTATAATTATTATATAAATGTTATTATTATTATTATTATTATTATTATTATTATATTATTATTATTCTCATCATTTTTGTTGTTATTGCTGTTAGTATTATGTGGGTGTCTTTAATTATGATAATTTTTATTAATATGACAGATAGTGTACAATACAAGCCATTGAGTCATTGAATAACAATTCAATGGGGCCACTTTCACTCTTAGAGTCCCCTCTTACACAATTCATAATGCTAGTATTATTATCTGGAGTAAAGAGAGAGAAAGAGAAACATTAAAATATTGTGCTTCCAGTATGCTTAGCTTTGCTTTAATAATTTTGATATTGCTCTACTTCTCAGCTCCTTCTCTTGCTGAGTGTAAGCAACAAAGTAACACTAGTAAGACTTTTAGATTCTTTTAAATATATTTTTTACTTCTTTTCCCATTTTATCTCACTTTACCCTCTTTGTTAGATAAGACAATAGAGGCTGAATACCTACAGTCATTGACCAGTGAAATTATTAACATCACTTGTGAGGGCAACTATACTACAGAAATCACAAAACCTAATGACAAGACCTGCTATGGCAGCAAGACTGAAGCCAATTGTACTGCAACGTGTAATTACAATGGGACTGGGATTCCGAGAGATCATGCAACTGCTAACATAACAGCTAACGTTACTTGCATTTCTGAAGAAATGGTCAAATTTCATTGCATGATAGATGTAGGGTTTAAAAATGTATGTCATATAGAGATGATTGAAATATTATTAGAGTCAAAAGCAGTCTCTGGTAAGTTGACATATTTTTTAAATTTAAATTATCATTATTGATAGATTCCAGTTCTATTGTCATTACTCCCAGCACAGCAATCATCACCAGCTCACTCCTACCTACTGATCATCCCCTCTTACCTACTAAAACACCCTCTGATGTCATCATAATTAGTGTGACTACATCAACTGTCATACTAGGACTGCTACTCATTGTTATTACTGGAGCCATTGTTGCATTTGTTTGCATTAAAAGAAAAAAAAGTACATAAAACTATACTATGTCCCAACTGAGAATGGACCGGAAGTGAAAGCAGCTGCATTGGAATTTGAAAAATGTAGTTACGTCACCTATGACATGTTATAATGATATTCATAGAGACATGGCCAATATTTCGGCTGTGTTGTTTCACTCTTAAAACAGTCTTGTTCTTCCTGATAAGCAGTACAATAGCTGCTGGAGTCAACTAGTCTTTATAAAGCCATCATTATCAGAAGATCTTGCTCTATTACCATTTTAAAGGAAGAATTATCAGTTTGGGCGCTCGACTACATGTGCTTATGTAAACTATGACATCATAGAACGTCATTGCGGTTAGCTTTGGTATGCCATTGGGTTTATAGGGAGAACCCGGTTCTCAGGGTTCCTAAGGGTTGAGAGACCCAAGATCTGAGATCCTGAAGCGGCATTGGGCGACTAAGAACCTGTGAAAGTCTCATCTTTATCCCACATTTCTATAAAAAGTTATTCCAGTTTTTCTTGGCCCAAACTCAGTTGGGACATAGTATAGATAATGCATGCATTGAGGGGCTTGAAAATTTTGTAATATAAAAATTGTTTTTTTTAATTTTGCATTAATTATTTTAGATAATAATCTGAGGGCACTAAGTGTCCCAAGTCATTTCAGAGAAAACCCGATTTACGAAAAGACTAGCCCTATGTATGATGTGGTACTACACAGGAAAGATCTTAGTTTATTGAGAGGCATAACCTCAGGCTATGATGTCATAAAGGAAAGCATTGAAAGCAGTGGTCAACACACAAAAAAGACTGATGATAGAGTTACAGAAGATGTGCAATATATCGAAATGTCCAGAGTTCATATCAGGGGTTTGGAAAACTCTGGGCTTTGCACTTCTAATGTTTATTACTAAAAGAGATTATTTTGATCGTCTTGTAAGTAATATTTAAGTTCTAATTGAATGTTGTGGAAATAATTGAGTGTGTAATTGGAGTGTACAGGTGTGCTGTTCTTTATTAATATAATTAGCTATATTTGGTGTTTTGCTTTTATAGTTGTTATGATAATGATTAATATCATTTGTGTTGTATAAATAAGAATGCTTCCTAATCCAATTACACGATCTGGTACATAGAGCAATGTTATGACAACTATGATGTCAATACATTGTAGTGATTAAATGACTGGGAAATATTCTCCGTGACTCACAACAATGGATATAGTAAGACTACAGCACCCATAAAAATAATGCAAATTGGACCAGGGTTGTCAGTAAAAATTGAAGCAGCTTAGCTAACGGGGACAAAGGGGCACATTCTTGTCTAAATTAGCACTTTATTTGAGAAGTAATTATAAAATGATAAAAAAATCCTCAGCCATAGGATGACATACAATACATAATTTTAAGAAACTGACAAGATGTGCATATCATACAAATACTAAGACTGGTTACAGTAACAGATGTATTTGCACAAACATTTAGATATAAGTTGCTCATGACTCAGAGGAACAGCTTGGGAGTCTAGGCTCATCATTAGATGAAGCTTGATCAATAACATAATGATTTGATAATGCATTTTGTACATTAACACTTGCAATGGTGCTTGATTCATGAGGCTCAATAGGTCCTTCAGGAATGTAGTTAGGGTTTTGGACAGAAAGGTTGATATTATTTGGACCATTCCCCGTCTTTCTACACTGTAATATCACAAGAAAGAATACTATAATTAGTAGAGCAACAATAACAAGTCCTGCTGCTGAAGCACCAGCACCTGTGATAACAAAAAAGGGAAAGAACAAAGAATGAGAAAGTGTGACAATTATTTTATTATTGAATAGAAAAATCCCCATGAGACATAAAGCAGCTAATGAACTACTCCTCCACACTAGCTATGATTAATCATTGCATGTACTAGTATTATACTAACTAGAAGCATTTACTGTACTGGAATGATGGAATGTGTGCAGTATAAACTGACCTATTGTAGAAGCACTAACAGCAGGTAAAGCTACCGTAATTGAAGGAGAAGGAGAAGAAGAAGAAGGAGAAGAAGAAGGAGAAGGCAAACACAATATTTCAGTTGACGTATATGCACAATATGAACTGCTAGTAACAGCCTTTGTAGATGCACTCGAAACATGCAAATCAGACGTTTTAGTTGTCACCGCGATTGAAGGAGATGAAAAAATAGTATTAGAAGATAAGTATAATGTCTCAGTTGATACACTTGGACAATATGAACTACTGGTAGCATAAATTGTAGTAGTGGTTGATGTAAAAGTGCAGCTCTGTGTTTTAGTGACAAAAATGGATGTAGTAATAGGCATAGGAGAGATAATGACAGAGGATGTTAGGACACTGGTGGATGTGACCGTGATGTTGATAAATTGAGTAACATTTACAGTTCCAACCAAATCATCATACGTGTTGCTACAGAGTGGCGTTGGAAGCAATTCACAATCTTTGAGAATGAAATTACGAGTTTCTCTTTTATCGTCATAAGTCCGGCATGTAACATTGTAGCTGCACGATTTAATGAAACTAGCAGAAACTAGGACATTATCCAGTGTGGTAACGTTGCAGGTTTGGCAGTCAGTATGGGTATGCATCTGGGAATAGTTCATCAGAGTACTGGCTACCACATCATTAATATACATTATAGCATGAGCACCTCCAGTTAGGGTACATGTAGCTGTAATGTTAATGTTCTCATCCCATGAGCTACGGCATTCGGTACTGGAAGTTACATCAATAATATCTGAGAATTATAATAGATAGATGAAATGAGATACTTGATTTTATCCTAATTTCACTTACCAGATCCTGATGCAATAGAAAGCACAGAAATCACATAGAGTAAAAGATCTGCAGACATCATAAGCATAGCAAGCACTTTTCTATGCATCTAGGAACACTATTTTAGAAATTTATAAACTTTGGACTCTTGAGCCACACCTCATCTTCTAAAGGTGTGGCTCAAGAGTTCAAAGTTTAATATTATAGTGTTCCTATAGATCTCAAAGCATGCTAGACGTAGTCTATTTATAGCTTGCTTAGCAACTCATTTCAGTATCCCAGCATTCGCAAATATGAATCGTGTTGTAATATTCTTTTTTCTTTCTTTGTATGCTACAGTCTTTGGACAAGGTAAACTCTATTGATGAATTTTTGCAAATTATTTTTTAAAAAGTTTTAAAACAGCCACAGAGTTATAACATACTTCCTAATGGCCATGTGATTTCAACCTGCAAAGGAAAAGGAGTACATTCAGCTATACATTTTTTCAAGCCAGGTCTTGGTCAACTATCAGAAACACATTCTTTTGAAGGTCTCAAGCTTTATGGTATATACCTTACGGTAGACTCTGTAAATATACAAGGAGGCAAAATTGTAACATGGGCAATCAATATTACTGGATTGAGCAATATAGATGAAGTTCAGTTCCTCTGTAAATTTTTAGCAAATGACTTTCATGAAAGTGACACAGCAAAAATCAATGTTATCAATGGTATGTTACTTTATTATAATTAAATGAAATATTATTCTACCTTTACTTTTATACACACAGAAACATTAGGTGCTCCAATAATAGCAGAATACAACGAAACATACATTGAACTGTACTGGTCTTCATTGCAAAGTTTCAATGTTACCAACTACACACTGAGGATCACCAATACCAGCAGTGGCAGCACCACTACCATTACAACTCCATTAACTGAATGGACACTAACTCAGGATCAGCCATCATCCAACAGTCACCCTTTAATAATAACAGTTGAAGCATTCACTGATTATGGGTCTGTAATCAGTGCCTCTCTTACTACAGGATTTCCTAAAAGTAATCATGTTGTTTATTATTTTATTATTTTTACCATACATACTTAGAACTGGTTGCCATTAATAAGAACGATATTACAGCAGATGTTGTCAAAAAAATCAACGGGCAGTTGCGAGTGACAATAAGTTTCATTGTATGTAACAATATATTACTGTAACTACAGCACACATCATTATTATCTTTTATTTATTTATAGCCTCCTGCAGTATTCTCCTATCAGAATCTATACTACAGCATTATTGTAGAAAATCTCAATGATACAGAAATGTATTACAGCAAGAATGAACTGAACTCTACTACACTAGTCATTGATGATGAAATGATGAAAGAAGGAAAGACGTATAACCTCTCACTCTTTGTTTGGGAGAGTCTGCGTGAAGATGTAGTGCTTATGACACATAAACTGTTCAGTAAGTGATAATCAGTTTAAGAACAATGCATAGAATAATCTTAAGGTGAAGCAATTCTCGCTAACTGATTGTATTGCATTTGTTTAAATTTGCTTTCAGTGTCTATCATGCATAAACTCACATCAACTCGCATGCGTTCAGTAAACATGTTGTTAGTCTTGTGTTAAGCTGCAAGCAGAGTGCATATTCTTACTCAGCATGCAGCCATGTGCAGCGTACATTATGCTTAATGTTATGCATAGTCCATCAGTTGCATTTACAAAAACACAAAAGTGCAACTTTAAACTTAACATAAACAATGAACCTGTTTGGAGTCAATGAAAATATTGTGTGTACGAAATGCATGTAAAGGGAGTTTTCTTTCAATTCTCATTCAACTTTGCAAACAGGATTTCTTCTGTGGCATACATGATCATCGGCGTAAACATGTTTTTCACACCCTTGACATTCGTTAGTGCATCAATTTTACTTGCTATTTGTATGCAAAAGTAGTACAAACGTGGTAAACAAGATAATGACAGAGAAAGAGAGAAATTAAAAGTTCAGGTGTATATAAGTTTTCTTTATCTTTCCATAGGTACTGATTTTACTAATACAAGAACACCTTTAAACTCTCCCTCTCCCACTGGTAACTAATGAATTCAACAATTAAACACAATATTTACACATGCATGCAGTCCCTGTAGTATTGCTTATCAACTGAAAACAATAGAAGGCATACCACAGATCCTTTAAAACAATGTACACACACAAACAATTCCCAACTGTTTCTATGTATCAGTATGCCATGGCATGATATTTTAAGTAGTAACATACATTAAAAGAATGCACAAACAATATGGCAAATGATCTCTTTGTTTCTAGTGCCATCATCAAGAGCAGGATCAATGTTAACACAATGGTATGTGATAGCTGGTGGCATTGCTGGACTCTTCTTAGTCCTCATATTACTGATTGTATTTGTACTAATCATTATATGCCTACGACTGAGAAGATTACAACGACCTAGTAAGAGTGGGTCACTGTGGGTGCATCACGAACATGCATAATTTTAGAATATAAATAATATAAATTTTTTGTGCCATAGCTATGTCACAAAATGTCATGGAAGAGACTAATGATAAGATGTTTAGAGAGAGGTCCCTGAGTCTTCCGATGTCATCAAAGAATAAAATGTTCAGGGAAAGATCACAGACTATACCAGCCCCTAAGACAATGGCTACTAACCCGATTTACGAAGCAACTACGCCAATATATGACATAATGCCTAATGACCTTAAAGGACTTGATAATCCAAACCCAAATCCAATTCCTCTCCCTTCAGCTGCCGATAATTCATTGTATATGGACATACCACCTCAGGTAAGGACACGCATATAGATCTAGCTATGCAGTGATTGCATATGAATGACTATTAGTAATATTAATTATTCTGCTTGATTGTTTTAAAGTTCAAACTAGTAGCCACAAACTATAAGCAGTGTTTGCAATAACAAACACGTGCAGAAGGAAACTGAAACCATGACTAGAATAGCATGGCCTTTTCCAGTTAATCCTGTGATTATAAAAAGAAAGCTTTTATAGTTGCATAAATAATCTTTTCAATCAAAGCAATACCAAGAAATGCTTATTGTTAATCTAAATTCTAAAACAAAAACATTCACTATATATATATATATATATATATATATATATAAACACATGTGACCTAATGTATTTATTAATATTAGGTACCGCCTCCTCGTAAAATGTCATTGGATAGTCCTGGAATTAAATCCGGTACTGAGGTTGTACTATCAAAGATTGCACAGTTGGGGGAGGATCCTAATGTTGAAAACAGTGACTACATGTACATGAGGTCACAGAGCCGTTATGTTAAATCGCCTGTTCCTACAAGGCCAAAGGAGACAACCATAAAACCATCAACACTCACTCTTCCAAACAGTCGCAATAATGAGGAGGAGAGAGAAGGTAATACTAGCTAAATGTTACTCTTTTGTCAAAAATGACTAAGAGAGAATTTTATGATTTTTTTCTGATACATTATGCATGTATTTACGTTATTTTATCAACTTTGAGCTGATTTTGATCAAATGTAGATTTTTTGCAAATTGTTAAACTTGCTCCAAAATTGGGCTAAAGTTCTGTATAAAGACTTTAGCTCTATACAGGGTTGTTGGCAAAATTTTTTCAAAAATTATAAAAAATTCTTCATTTTATAATTTTTTTCTGATACATTATACATGTACTTATGTTGTGTAGAAAGTTTGAGATGATTTTGATCAAAATTGAATTTTTTCTGAATATTTAAAGTTGTTCCAAAATTGGACCAAAGTCCCCTGTACTATGTATAGTACAGGGTAATTAGCCAAATTTTGTCAAAAATGGCTATGAGAGAATTCTACATTTTTATAAATTTTTTTGATGATTATGATCAAAATTGAATTTTTTTACCAATATTTGAAATTGTTTCAAAATGTTGTCAAAAATGGCTAGGAGAGAATTCTGAATTTTTATGGTTTTTTCTGATGCATATACATGTACCCTATAGGAAGTTCCTTGCATGTTCCTTGCATGTTCCCTGCATGTTACCATGCAGTTCCTTGCGTGTACTGAGATGCGCAAGGAATTGGGACGTTTTCTTGCATGTTCCTTGCAAGGCCCTTGCATGTTCCTTGCAAGGGCCTTGCGTGAAACTACTTTACGTTCCTTGCAAGGCCCTTGCATGTTCCTTGCAAGGACCTTGCATGTTCCTTGCTCATTAATTCCTTGCATGTTTCTTGCATGTTAATTCCTTGCATGTTCCTTGCATTTATTTCCTTGCATGCTCTTTATACACCACGGTAATCTTTTATTTATACATGTAACTCTTAATAATAACTATAGTGTCAAAAAGTTACTTCACATGTACTATACACATCATTTACATGTGTACACTTATTGTTTTAATGGCTTTAACTTCTTTATCACTGAAAAATAAAGTCAGTTTTTAAGGGCAGCTAAAGCAATGTAGATAAAATTAAACTCTCTCTTCAGTCTCCTTTTGTCCTGTCCATACATCAGTAGTGTGCCTTCATGATAATCTTTTTGCTTTACTACCTGTATCCAGGAACAAAGATAATCTTGCTAATGTATATACATATACATGTATGTATATCTTAGGGAACTATAGCAGCATTACTAAATGCTTACCACTTTATTTCCACCATCATAACTGTTTATGGTTTCAGTTGGTAGAAAGACACCATTTAGATATCTTGATTTAAGTGCTAGCTACATTAGCCAAGCCAAAGGATTGTCCAATAACAGATAAGCCAACAATCCGCCCCTTTTTTGTTCTCTCCCGCCTAAAATAACTACCCGCTTAAATTTTGTATAGGTACGTGATGCATGCTTTGATATGTACATGCATGTATGTACGTATAAAAACTTTGATACATATCAATTATAGTGTTATTGTAGTACTATAATTTCATTTAATTTTAAAAACTAAAGTTCAAGATAATCTAGTTCTAGAGTTTAGTTTTTATTGTATTGCTCTGGACTTGTCTTTAATAAGTTTAGTTCTAGTGCTAGTGCAGAAATAGATTTCGATTTGTTCTGGTATTATGTACTATGTAAAACTATGTAAAACTATAGTATAAGGTAGTTTAAGTTTATTTCTAGTTCTC